TGTATTTAGAACTTGGTTATAAATACAACCTTCCTATGTTTATTGAAACATTGCATTAAAAAAACAAGTAAAGAAAAAAAACTTTTCAAAAAAGGAAGTAAATGTAGGAATGGCTAATATCAATCCTTCAAATAGAATGCAAACAAGATAGTAGGTATGGCACTAGCATCATCCCTACATAATAGCACAGGGAAGAATTATCATATAGCATATCTATTCAGTTACAGTTGAATTGAAATTTATCTTAGTTTTGTGTGCCTGTGCTATTTTATGTAGGGATGGTGCAAATGTCAAACCTATTATCTTGTTTGCATTGTTTTTAAAGGATTGATATTAGTCATTCCCCACATTTAATTCCTCTTTTGAAAGGTTTTTTCTTTACTTGTATTATTTATTCCTTTATTTTATCTTAAGAATACTGTAAGTTATCCAGTGATATATAATTCTAATGTTATTTAATTATTTGTTATAGTATTTTATATTTACAACAGGTAGATTATTCATTAATTTTCAGAATAATTTAACTAATGGTAAGAAATTGTATCTGTTTATCTATATATTGATATCTTTTTTTCTTTTCTTTTTAAATTGAAATGTTAAAAACTTGTGGTTGCATAGGTTGCAGTACCAGATTCAAACTGCCCGTTTATAGGCCTACTTCTCACATTGCAGTATGAGTTTCAAACCATAGTGTTATTGGCTTAGCATTTGCATTATAGTACTGAATTCCAACTGCCTTTTTAAAGGTCTAATCTTCCCACCATTGCAGTATAAGTTTCAAACCATTGTGCTATTGGCCAAGTTTTCACATTGTTAGTATGAATATCATTTTGAAGTTAACCCTTTCTGGATCAGTGAACACCTTTCAGGTATCAAGTACACACCTGCATAAAAAACTTCAAACATTTAAGTAAAAATAAAAATGCTGACTCTTATATGAACAATCATTTACAAAAAATAGTTTATAATTGATGTTTTTTTAATTTTGTAAAATTTTTTAAATGAAATTCACAAAGAAAAAGTAGAAAAATATTAAAACGTACATTTCTGTGCATCTCCAAGGAGTCTCACTTGTACATCTTTCATGTTATAAGCTCAATTTACAATCCATAATTGTAGATATCAGAGTAGTTAAGAGAAGTTGGACATGGACAAAAGTATAATTTATGATTAAGACGGAACAGGATTGTTTATCAAGTATGATCAAAAAGTGATTCTTGTCGATGTTTCTATTAAAATAATTAAAAACAATTTGTTTCTGTTCAAGACTTGGATCGCTGTTTCTTCAGTGACTGTGAAGATATGTGTCAGAATTCTCCAGATGGACATTTTTGTTACTGTACTAGAGGACTCCGATTAAGCAATGATGGTATAAGTTGTACTGGTAAGTATTAGAATCCTCATAATGGTCAACTCTGTCATTGTTCTGTATAAAAATCTTAATTATAATGCAGGAAGTTCTAGTGTTTGTTATTGTTTCAAATATGGTAATGCTTATATGTGATACTATGTGGTATGCAAGAGATCCCAGGACTTACTTAGCTAGCGAGTGGTATGTAGATCTATCCTGAGACATGAAAAGGGTAGTAACCACATTGTTGTATTAGTGCTCACACAAGGTGTATTGGTAGGATTATGAATGTTACACACAGTTATTTTATGGAAGCTCTGTATTAAATAATGATTCATAATGTGCATGTAGTTTAGGTTAAAGTTGTTAAAGTTGGATAAGATAGCTCAGACAAGAATAGTGTTTTTGGACTGCTAGATAAACGTTCATTCTAGTTTTCCCATAGAGATGCTTTTCTTTACTGGGAAGTGCCAGAATATTACAAATTGTGTTATGTTAGATCTGTGATAACAAGTATATAAGCAAAGTATTTTACTAAAGAAAGACTCAAGTAGAGAATTTGAGACATTGAGTTTACATTAAGCTGACTAAAAGTTTCTTTAAATGTGACATCATTATAGGTAAAATAAATAGCACCAGAACATATCAGAATATAGTTATATAGATTTTAAAACTTACTGAAGAGTGTCATGAGATTTCATGTTGGTACTTTAAAATTGCTTTCACATCATCATGTAAAAGGTTTGTGACAAATATATATATATAGGACTTGAAGACATTTAGATAAATGTTTAATGTTATTGGTCTTGAATTGATTTTGCGATAAACAGAACTGCAGTATTGCAGTTAGTAAGTGTTAAAATTATCAAGTGCAGTATATATTTTTACTACTCAAGTCACACCAGGTTATATTTCACTATCAACTAGAACTGTTTTTTGATTTATTTTTTTTTGAAGAGGAAAAAAAATTATATTATTACTGTGATTTGATTTGTGCATCTGTAGAAAAGAACTCTTGTGAAGAATGGGGAGCTTGTAGCCAAAAGTGTACACAGTTGAAACATTACCACAAATGTGAGTGTGAAAATGGATATAGCTTGGAACCAGATGGATTTACATGTAAAAGTACAGGTAAATTACAGTAGTGTTTTTTATCTCTGCATTTCTTTCATTCTTCATTATTTATCCTATAAAATTACAGCTCAATTTAGCTGCATTAAAGAACTGTTATAAAAACATTTTTTAGAAGGAAAAGTTAATTTTAAATTACTTGTAGTAATTTTCTGAAAAGGTTTTTTTTATTGAATTAGAAATTGCTAATTTATTATTTTAAGAAATCATTGTTGTATAATTGTAGAAGTAACTTAATTTGTGAAGTTGTTTATTTTCAGAAACAACTTTGCCTTACCTTTATTTTAAACTTCTTAAACACATTTTCCAGACAGTTTTTATAGCAAGCTGCTTGTGAGCCCATGACTGTTTTGTTTATGGGAACCCTAATAATATATGAACCACATAAAAAATCAATATTACAATTAATCCTATAAATGGCTGATGTGCTTCTGTATATATTTTACACAGGCAGTATGTAATTTTGCCCAGTTTTTGTCATTTCTTCACAATGACCCAAGATCTTATAATCACTCATGATGTAGACCCCAATGAGTGGTATAAAAACAAGTTGGAAATTTGATGGTTAAATAGCTTAATTTTATTTGCATTTCTTAAGTGAAAATGGCTTTTCATCTGTTTTTTATAATTGAATTTGTCTGATATGCATTTGTTAAGTGAAAATAACAGTTAATTTCTTTTGGAATAAATAACTTTGTTATTAGTGCTTATGAAGTAAAACTATTGTTTTATATTTAGAAATAACTTCAAATTCTACTTGCTAAGTGAAATCACTTACTTATTATTGAAGTATTTTGTTAATCTAGAAGTAGCTTGATCTTTAGCTTGTAAGTATAACTTATTTTTTGCTCCTAGTTTGAAACAGATATTATTTTCTTTAATAATAACTTATGTTTTTCATCATTAGGATGATTATAGTCATTGCAGAACCCATTCTGTTTTCCTTATCTATTTTTGTTTCAATGGGTATGCCTCCAAATATAGTAAAAGAAAAATCATTTGTTTTATGTCTTGGTTTTCTCTTGATATATTTATTTTTTCTATGTCTTTTAGACCCAGCTGTTCCTTATGTAGTGTTTTCTAACCGACATGAACTTCGTAGTGTTGATCTACACACACTTTCCTTCAAGACTTTAATTCCTGGCTTGAATAACACTATTGCTCTTGATTTTTACCATGATAATGATGAAGATGTGATCTTTTGGACAGATGTGGCAGATGATAAGATCTACAGAGGGAGCATTGTGTCTGGCTGTAAGTAAACCAGAGAACCTGATAGAAAAGATCTGTGTTTAATAATGATAACAAGTATTGTTAATAAGGAAGGTTTTGTCATTTTTTTCTACTAAGACAAGATGTATGATAATTAATTCTGCCTGTTTTTTCTTTAGCTGTTCCTCATGTACATTTTTTTACAGTAATACAAACTGTGTAGTATATTTATATTGGTATTTGGAACATGTATATTGAATAATTGAATGAGTAGAACAGAGTGATTAAAGTAAGTTTGTATTTTTAAATTATGTTAATTTTACAATGTTTCTAAGGTTTTCAGTAATATTTATATTAAAATTTGACTTTTAAACATATACCTTGTGTAGACTACAGTGCTCCATAGGTTTATATAGGTAATAACCCTACATCTATAATAAGGAAAGGGTGGGTCTGTGTTTGTGTGACCACCATAACTCCAATAGGAAAGAACTTATAAATCTGCAATTTTGCAACCATACTAAGTATTATAATTATGTGTGCATCTTTTTGTCAGGTAAGCATGCAAAAAAACACATGGAAAAGAATACGCAACTGCCATAGCTCTAAGCAAAGTACCTAGAAATGGAAATTTTGCACCCATACTAAGTAGACCCTGAGGGTGTGCACCTGGGTATTATTACTTATTCTCATGCGTGCATGTGTGCATCTTTTTGTGAGGCAAGCTAGTAAAAACCACATAGGAAAGAATATGTGACTGCCATAGTACCAAGAAGAAAGAACCTAGAAAGCTGAAATTTTGCACCCATACTAAGTGAACCCTGAGGGTGTGCACCTGGGTATTATTACTTATCTACATGCATGTATCTATAATAATAAAATGGCATGTCTGTGTGTGTGTGTGTAACCAACATAACTTCAATAGGAAAGAACCTAGAAACTTGAAATTTTGCACCCATACTAAGTGACCCCTGAGGGTGTACACTTGTGCGTGTCTGTGTGTATGTGTGACCGTCTTAGCTCCAAGAGGAAAGAAACTAGAAATTTTACACCCATACTAAATGGACTCTGAGGGTTTGCACCTAGGTATTATTATTTATCTACATGCATGCACGTGTGTACCTGCACAATGTTTCATGTGAAAACGAAATAGAAATGAAGTGTGAATGTGCATGCATGCACATCTTTTTAATGAGGCAAGCTAGTGATAAACCACATAGAAAAAAGTGGTTCCTTATATTATAAATAGAAACCACTGACAGATAGACATGCATGTGTGCAAAACTGCAAAGAAAAGAAATGTGCACATGTGGCCTGTTTATAAAGGTAACCCTCTCTCTGATTTTAAACTTAAATAATAGAAACAACTAAAAAAAAAACCTCTTTAATTAATGGAGCCTCTAAATTAGAAAACAACAAATATAATTTTGTAGTTTGTACATTTCATTTTATACTTTCAGCATCTAGCCTATTAACAATAATATTAGATTATACTTTTATTGCTAAGCAATGTGATATAAAAACCATTGTTGGAATGTATTGTTACCAAAATGCACTGGCTTTTCTCTATATTAAAATTTGTTATATAAGGAACCACTTCTTTTCTATGTGGTTTTTGCTGGATTTGCCTCATTAAAAATATGTGCACATGCATGTGTGTCTGTGATTTATAGCTATAATTTGTAATATAAGAAACCACTTCTTTTCTATGTTGTTTTTCGCTAGGTTACCCAATTAAAAAGATGTGCTATAATACCTAGCTGCAGACCCTCAGAGTCCACTTAGTATAGGTGCAAAATTTCAGGTTTCTAGGTTCTTTGCTCCTGGTGATATAGTGATCACATATTCTTTCCTACATGGTTTTTCAATTACTTACCTCATTAAAAGATGTGCATGCATGCATGCACATAGATAAGTAATAATACCCAAATGCAAACCCTTAGTGTCCACTTAGTATGGGTGCAAAATTTCAGGATTCTAGGTTCTTTCTTCTTGGAGCTATGGCAGTTACACAGACACGTGTGTGTGTGTGTGTCTGTCTGTCTGTGATTTTTATTTGTAATATAAGGAACCACTTCTTTTCTATGTGGTTTTTCACTAGCTTGCCTCATCAAGAAGATACCTATGCACGTATGCATGTGGTTAACATAAGTAATATTACCCAGGTGCAGACCCTCAGGGTCCACTTAGTATAGGTGCAAAATTTCAGGTTTCTAGGTTCTTTCCTCTTGGAGATATGGTGATCACATTTCTTTTTTATGTTTTTTTGCATAAAAAGATGTGCATGCATGCAGGTAAGTAATAATAGATGGGTGTGGCAAGAGGGGGCTGATTTTCTATTTGATAGCTCTGTAACCAAACTGAATTGAAGGCTATAAAAATTATGATTTGTCTGAGCAATGATTATTTTATAGTGAGTAATTTACTGTAAATTTTGTACTTATTGGAGGGATGGTGAATAGAATAGAGATGAGGGGATACCTAAAAAAAATGTAACATTTCTCACACTATGGGAAATTCAGGATTTTTTTTTTAATGCTGCCTTATAAAATTAAGAACTTAAAAACTTGTGTACTATTAAGATATGAATTATTAGATACAGTTTTATGCTATATTAATTGATATAACATAAACAAAAAGTAGTTTAGTAAAATTTTGAATGTAAGTCACTAAAACTTCGTGACATGCACAGTAAATGATGCCCAGGCAGAAAGGGTTAAGAAGATATATTCAGAAACTTACTTTTGCATGTAAATGTCTATTATCTTCAGAAAATAGAATAACAAAAATGGAGACCTTTATCCTGTTGATCCAACAGATAAATCTTGTAAACTTCAACAGGATTGCCTCTTATCTTTCATTTCTCAAGAGAAAAGAGATCTTATAATGATAACCCTTCCAACACTAGAATTGCGGTATCCTAAAGTAACTGATTCTCTCCCCAAGAATGACAACATAGGTCTGTAGAATAATGGAGGATTCATCAAGATAGTATCACAAAATAATTCAGTATTTTCTGACTAACTGGGTTCTTAAGAAATAAACATAGATCAGACACAAGTGTAAAATTACAATAAACAATTTTTAATTGATTTTATAAATACAAAGTATGCGTATTTACTTGACATAATGGACAGATGCCTTTACCGGAGAGCTAGATCCAAAACTGTTTCTCCCTCAAAAACTGTTTCAAACCTACTCAGTTGAGATCTTGTACCAGGTTGAACAAGTATCAGGTTACTTACTTAAGTCAGTAATGTAAAATTTATCCAGAAAGACTTGTACTGCCCATGTAATTGTTCATTCTCACTAAAACACAGGGGAGGTCATAACCTAAAGATATCACCTAACTTCTGACTTCACATATAGTGTACAATCTTATCTATCTTTCCCACAGAAAGACAAAAGGTGTTATTTTAGGTACATCACATAGAACATTAGGTATCTAGAACAAAAGCAACTTAACAACCTTATTGATCATTATGTTATGTGAAATTGCACAAACCTGCATAAATGTAAATTTGTGAAAATAAGAAGGAAGAAATGTATTCCATATATATATCCCACAGAATCATCTTAGTAGACTTCGTTTGAATACTCTTTCGTAGATAAGGAGATCAAAATAGTACACAGTGTTCTAAGTGAAGCTGTATTAGTAATGTGGAGATAATTACCTTTTACTTGCTCTTAATCAGTGTGTTTCTAAATACATCCTAAAATTCTACTAATATTGCTACTAGCAACAGAACACTACATGGACAGCTTGAATTAGTTATCTGTTAATAAACCAAGATCTTTTTGTTCAGTCATGCTGTTGAAATAAATTGAAATCTCCAATATTGCAGAAAGCTTAAAAACGTGAAAATTGTAAAAAAAATGTTTGTCCTTGAAATGCATTCATATTTCACTCAATCACCTCAAAAATCATCATGACCCTACAAGCCACCACCTTTTATTTACAGTGAGTATGTGACTTCTAGGGAGCATTAAATTGGAAATAGGCCAAATTTGTTGTTTTATGTATGTATGTATGTATGATGCCTATATACACATGCTGTTATGTTATATGCAGTCAGTTCATCACTTCCTTTTAAGTCTCTTATTTCAGTTTAAACACCAAGTTGCAACGTGTTTAATACAGTAAAACAAGATAGGTTTTGTTGTTTTACCTTTCCTGTGATGTGTAACAGTTGCTCTGAATTTTCTGCAGCTTTGACAAATGTAGAAGTAGTTGTTCAGAATGGGCTGGCCACTGCTGAAGGCTTAGCTGTTGACTGGATTGGTGAGAATCTTTACTGGATAGAAAGTAACTTGGATCAGATTGAGGTGGCCAAGTTAAATGGAAGTTTTCGCCGTACCCTCATTGCTGGAAGAATGGAAAGCCCAAGAGCTATAGCTTTGGACCCTCGTTTTGGGTCAGTCGGTTTTGATAGTTTTAACAAAAACATTTTAATGTAAATACAGTGCTTGAAGTTGGGCAGGATGAAGTGGGATGCTATCCCACTTCTTTTCAGAAGGGCTCAAAACCATCTTGCTATGTTTTAGTAGACTGTAAGCTTTTCAGAAGGAAAAGATTCAACAGATGATGCAATAACTATTTACGGTGGCAAGAAACTGGGGAGAAAAACTATAATTTGTTTTTGTAAAATGTTATGTAAGAACGAGGCAGGAATTAGACAAGGTAGTACACAAATGGAGCAAATCAACCCTTTCATTACAGGCTTGATCATTGTGATGACTGGGTTCGTAACACAAAGTAACTATCAGAGTTTCCATACAATAATTTGTAACAATATACATCTTTTTATATTTACTTTTCTGGTTTTATTGCCCTTTGAACCATGTCTAACTAGTAATCCTGCCACATGAGTAGTAAACCACTTGGTGAATGTGCAGTTGATCTTACGGTATCAAATTACATAATGCACGAGCTGCCCGTGAGTATACCTCATGAAGAATTTTTATTGTTATTTTTGTTATCTTATCTTATCTTATCTAACAAGTTTTTAATTTTTACAGTTTAGTTACTTTTATAATAATAAATAAAGAATACACGTGAAAACAAGAAATATAGTTCCCACCTATTCCATTTCCTCTCCCCCCCCTTCAAGCACTGTGTAAGTATGAAATAATTTTGAATAATAATATGTTGTTATATAAAAATTAATTCCTTAGATACTTGCATGATTTTAACCAGAATGAAGAATTTTTTTGTACCATTGTTTATAATGAGTGTGCTGTTCAATTTAAACTGATCATTTATGTGAGACATGGAAACATATTCTGTATAAACTGTTATTTTTGTGGTATGCATGAGTTCGTATCTGTTCATTGCACAAAATGTGTCTTTATCCATGACTCTTTCTCCATTCTCCATCTATTGCTCTTAGTGTATGCGTAGTTTTTTTGTGTTTTGATTTCTACATTGTTTTTGTATCTAAAACAGTGACAAACTATTGTGGTGGTTTGTGACATTTTCATAATTGGTGTCTATAAACATAATGAAACCTAGGCATGTTGCATGTTTTGTGTTTCTGACAGCCATACCTTAAGGTTTTCATTACATCAGTATCAATAGTCTCAGCCTTTTGCAGTTATGTGTATTCATTGTTTTGAATTTTATATAAATTATTATCACACAGTTTAAGACATAAACTGGACTGTATGAGATAAAGGATGTTCTGTAACTTATTAATGTTGAACTAATAGGGTAATGATCAAAATATGTCTTGTATTGGTAATAGTGTGAAAGTTTAAACTGAACATTGACAGTGACGGTATTCACAAATTTGTGAACTTCTCATGTATTGACAATAACCTGATCCTCTAAACTAAATAGTTGATTCTTACAGTATGAACTTGTATACATGTTCTGTTGGTAATATGAAATTGGGAAGTTTGTACTAGTAACAGTTTGGTAACCTACACTAAAAGTGTTGAGAGTGATGATTTAAATTTACATGTATTGCTTATTGATGATTTAGAGCTTGTATGTTGGATGGTGAATAATATTCAGCTCTGCCAGATATAATATTTAGTGCTTCAAATGAGCTGTGCAGGATCTAAAATGCTATGCAGGTTTTTTTTACATGAGCTGTGCAGGATATATAATACTTTTCAGTTTTTTTTTTTACATAAGCTATGCTGGATATATAATACTTTTCAGTTTTTTTACATGAGCTATGCTGGATATAGAATACTTTTCAGTTTTTTTGCATGAGCTATGCTGGATATAGAATACTTTTCAGGTTTTTTGCATGAGCTATACTGGATATAGAGTACTATTCATGAGCTCTGCTAGATACAGAATAATATTCAACATGATGTTTAGGATGCAACATGGTTTGTGTTGGTCATGGCGATTAATTGATATCTTTAAGATATTTTTTAATCACAGGGTGATGTTTTGGACTGACTGGGATAATGCTTCACCTCGGATTGAGCAAGCTTCTATGAGTGGAGATGGGAGAAAAGTCATCTTTCAAATATTGGACATTAGTGAAGGAGGAGGGTGGCCAAATGGACTGACCTTGGATTACATGGCTTTAAGAATCTATTGGATTGATGCCAGGTATAGTGTACTCATTACTTCAAAATTAAACTTTGTTGTTTAACTCTGTGGCTAGTGATCAGGTCTTAAATCAATTGGCTGAAAAGTTTTAACAAAATTAGTGAAAAACACTGTATTAATAAGCCAAACATCTCATTACACAAAGCACTAAAATTATGATAAGCCATATCAATTGTATAATTTTCAACAGAATATTTCATTAAAGACATAGTATTCAGAATTAGCTTATTGCTTTTGAGAGTGGAGACTAACAGGCCATAATATAATAGCAGAGCACTACAGTTATAAAACTGGCATTACTATGGTGTATTTTTATAATGCATCTGATTATTGTAGAAGCTACTTAATTTCAATGTGCTGTAAAGAGTATATTTTTTTAATAATATCTTTCCTTCAGCTAGATTTTGTTGCTCAGGGAAACACACAAAATTTAATGTTTTGTTTCCTGTAAACATAAACTATACAGCTGTCAACTTAAGACAAAATATTTGGATGTAATTGTTTTGGAGAAGATATAATTCTAATGAACTGGGAAATTGAGCCATAGCTATCATATGTATTAGGAAAACATTTTGAATTTTTTTAGGATCTTAAATATTTTTTGATCTATATATTACCTACATCAAAAGTAAGGTTTTATCGTACTCTTTTATTTTTACTGATATGTCTTTGATGTTGAACATGTGGAAGTGTATTACTTGATCAGTAGTGCAGGCCTTTAGTAACAGTAGAGATTTGAAGGAACATTTGATATAGTTAAAAAATATGTATCAAAGTATTTTTTGTCGAAAGTTTGGGAATAAATTTTAAAATTATGTTCAAGCATTGTTTGTAACACAAACAAATGCAACTACAGTGTGATAAATTCTGGAAATTCAAAGGAGTGATTAAATTTTCTGTAAGGAATAAAGAATTGTCTTTCTATTTCTGTATACTAATGTGCTCTCTTTCTTTTAGGTCCTAATCTAATCACCTGGTCAAAATTCTGACCACTTAACTAATTCTTCCACCATTTAATAAATTGTAACTGTTTCTCTCTGTTTTCAAATAAATATAATTATTGGTATAATGTATTTATTAATTTTATTTTTTGCAATTAGTACTGAATGACTGAGCAACCTCTGAACATTGCTTAGTGAGTAAAAGAAAGTATTTTAAGTCCAAATGATAATTATTTGTGATTAACTGACAGAATAACTCAAATGCTTCAAAAATCTTAGAAAAGTATTAGGTTGCTAATGGAGCAAAAACACGTATTCTTTAGTATGGGTTTTAGTGAAAAAGTAATTAAACCTCACCTCAAACCATTTAGATGAAAACTAATCCAGTATTGGTAGGTCAGATAAACACTAATAAAAAATAAGAGAAAATTTACAAAACCAGAGTTGAATCATAGGTTTTTGACTTATACCACATACACAGAAAGAGTAAACTGGTTATTAAAGTCACATGTCTGATTGAGAATAAATCATAACAAAAGAAGGTGAAGATTTTGTATAGTCTATGTTTAGTGTAATATTTCACAGCATTGAACTTTGTTTAGCAGCTATTTTGATTCCCAGGAAAAAGAAAGATTGAGACTTTTTCATAACTCTCAGAATGGTTTTTTCAAATGTAGATTTATTTGCCAAAGTTTTTAAGCCAAATAACAAACATTTGTTAAGGACATTAGTGTAAATTACACAGTAAAAAGTAAACTACACTGTGCATACTGTGTAGGACTAATGGAGATACACAGACATGTTGAAATTACTTTCCTTGTGTTTGTGCTAATGTTTTGTTCCAAAAGTGTTGTTTATTTTTTTAGATTCATTTGTTAGGGATATTTCAAAATACTTCAGATATTTGAAGAGTTTACATACTAAACATGAGGGATATTTCAAAAAAACTTAATTGGTTTGAGGGGTTTTCATGCTAAATGTACATCTGTGCTGTTAGTAATTTGATATATTAAAGCTCTCTCTTTCACATTAAATTTATGTTCAGTTCCAACATGTTTAAAATATATATTCTTGTATTTCACAACTATAAATTTATGTTTGAAACTTTGTGTAAATGACTTCATATCATCAAGTTTTTAAGGATTATAAGCTTGCATTGACCACAATATGATACATATAGTAGATCATATTTTTGGGTCCAATATGTTGTCATATGTTGCAAAGAATGTTTCATATGATTAATCATGTTATTATTAAATAGTTTTATCTTTTTTGATTTATACATTTATATGCATAATTTCAGATCTGACTCCATTCACACCATTACTTATGATGGTTTGGAGCACCATGAAATTCTAAGAGTTCATCAATTTCTTTCCCATCCTTTTGCTATCACTTTGTTTGGAAATTATGTATATTGGACAGACTGGAGAGCTAATGCAGTTATAAGAGTAAGTAATGTTTGGAAATTATTTTATGGTCTGTAGAAATGTTGAATTTTTATACTTCAAAGACAAGATAGATGGAATTTATTTTTATATTCCCCCCAACCCCAATCAAAAAGGTTAGGGATATATAGTGATGAAATTGTCCATTTGTCTTGTAGTCATTTGCTTTCCTTATGTAAATTAGAATTCTAAGCAGCATATTTTAATCAGACTACATTGGTCACTTTCCTTTGGGATGGAAAAGAACCTTATTTTTTCTGGAGTGAAAAGTTCAAAGATTAAGGTCACCATTTCAAAAAATGAAAGTTTGGTTTCTGAGCAGAAGAAAACATAACCAAAAAAATATACACAAACAAGTATACCATACTTATTAACACACTAAACTAGAAGAAGTGTAGGCATGTAAATAAAACTGTTAAAAATTGGAACACTTTTGTGAGAAATGTAATAGAATATATGTGCCCGTAAGCAATGAGTATGTTATTCAAATTGTTTTTAAATATAACAGATTTGGTAATATTTATAGAGACAACATTACAAACCAAGAATTTCCCCATTGTATACAAAGTTTTGTTTTCAGATAGGTGGCAAGTCTTTTAGATCTGGAGCAACTAGAGATTGTTTTCCTTTAAATGTGCATGGGGCAAGTCTAGTTGACCAACCCAATATTGAAGAAGTAATGTTAACTGTAATTCAAAATTTACAAAGTGTATCTTCACAAAATTACAGTTTTCAAGTTGTATTTGTATAACCTCTACAACTTCATAAATTCATATCTATGTTGAATGGCACTCTGTACAAGGTCATGGCATTCATAATTTGTACCATACCTATGCAGATAGGGTTAAGTAAGTTATATTTACATAATGTTTGTATTATGATGTGTAAGAAAATCATCATCTGAACATGCATCTCAAATACCTGTAATAACATGCAGTATGTTGGATTAGGACAGATAAGCCAGGAAATTCCAGAATATGCCTTATGATGTGCAAGCTTCATGTTTGAGGGAATGGCTTTTTCCAGTTCATTGGTGGCTGTAAGAGTTAACAGGAGTCATAGAAATATCAAACCTAATTAAATTATTTCAAACCTGTGTAATGTATACAATAACTCATGAAATCAAAATCATTAAGGAAGTTGCTTTATTTACTTTTTCTCTGTAGCAGATACTGTCTATTTTGTGTAAGAGGATATTGCAGTAATATACAGCATCCAGGTTTAAAGTATTAATGACTGTAATATCCTTTGCTGGCTAAATCAACACTGTATGTATACAGCCAACCAGTGCAGTGAGAAAACAAAGGTCACACGGTGACACTGTACACTGGACAAAGAAACCAAGTTTACTTGTTGAATTGAATCATGGTTTCTTTATTCTACCTGGAATTCTTCAAGTAAAGATATTCTTTAAGATCAGCAGTTTTAGTTCAATGGAATTTTATCCTGAGAGAAAGAAAGCTGTGGAACTTATCAAAACTTGATAAAAGTGACTGTCTTTTTGTGTGACTTTTTGACTTTGTTTTCTCTTTGTCTTATAATAAAGATTGTGTTTACTTTGTTAAACATGAATATGGTTGGGAATCAAGTGTGCTTGTCATGATGTTTACAGTTACATTCAAAAGTTAATTAAACAACTTTATACCAATAAGCTTGGCATCAAAGTTAGTTTATAATTCAAATTTCTATATTATTTAAGTTTTAATTCCTTAATGTGAATAAACTCTCAGTCTGCACTCCACAGAGTCATTTGCTTTACTGAGATTTCAATATATTTGGTTCAACCCACATTGACATGCCCCTCCCACACCATCTGTCTTTTAAGA